AGATTTATATTTACCGTTTACTTAGCATTAGCACCTACAAGTCACTAATGCTGTGTAACTTCCCTCAATTTGAATTGCAAAATCAGGTTATACTTTATTTTAAGGTGTCCGTGTTACAGTTCAATTATACATTTAAGTACTGGAGTAATAATAATTAACCACATGTAGGCCTACTTAGGGATGGGAATTGATAAGATTTTATCAATATCAATGCCACTAACGATTCTGCTTATCGATCCAATTCTTTAACGATTCTCTTATCGATTCCTGATAGCACTGTGAGGGAAAAAGTAGTCTTTTTCGGGGGAAAAAACAAGTTGTTTTATTTGTTTTAAAGCTTACACTTGACTAAGCAAACTGTACTTTTTATGTAATAAATGGAACCTTATTGTAAAGTGTTACCGATTAGTTATACACCGATTAAACGCCCCGTGAGTTCAGTGTTGGAAAGATCAGTTGTTTTAACCATTCATTAAAACGAATCGGTTCAAATGAGTCATTAGTTCGCGAATTGGACGTGTCATTATCGGACGTGTGCTCGTTGTGTGATTATCCCGGCAGTTGGGACATCCCACAAGATGTGTGTCATCACAGAAAACATTTCATCACTGGATCGTTTTTTTCAAGTGTGATTATGTCAGCTGAATGTGCGGAACACTTTTCAGAGAAGATAAGGGAACGTATTTTAGCACAATTCACACCCAGCGGCAATTCAGGAAAAACAAATCTCCGAATGCTCCACAAAAAACTTTAGTCTCCCTACCTTACCATCGTGTCGTTTATTTTGATTAATATGTGCGAGGGAGAGAGGAAGACAGCGCTTAGTTTTGAGACAGTAAAGCCTACTTTCGCCTTGCTCCGAAGAGAGAGAGTGCGTGCGCGCGACCGGGGCTCTCTCGCTCTCTCTCTCTCTCTCTTTCTGCTCGATCAGTTTAACATGCGCCCTGTCACAAGCGCAGCGGTTCATCTACATTACCAGAGAGAGACAATTTTACTCACTGATCAAATAAGACTTTGCAGGACAAAGATTAGCTTTGGACGCGGTGCTATGGTGCTTGATAAAGGACAAAAGGGACAGAGCAGGAGCATCGATAAGAGGACTCGTTAACGTCGAGGGCATACAATATCGATGGATCGTAAAATTTAGAACCGGTTCTCGAGTGGAACCGGTTTTCGATTCCCATCCCTAGGCCTACTATAAGTATAGGATTAGGATTTGGCTTAGGGTTAGTTGCATGTAATTATGCATAATTTACTGTTGTTACTATAGTAATACATGTAACATGGGTAACAAGGACACTGTAAAATAAAGTGTTAACCAAAATAATTTTATATATAAAATTCAACTTTGTCTTAACAGGAATAAGTCACATTTTAAAATATATTAAAATAGAAAACAGCTAATTTAAATTGTTATAATATTTCACAATAGTACAGTTTTTGTTTTTGTCAGACAGTGAACAGTTTTTACTGTTTTATTGATGCAGCCTTAAACAAAAACATTAAAAAAATCTTACCAACCCCACATTTTTGAACAATAGTGTAGAGAGGCACAACTGCATAAGATATCAAGTTTTTAGAAGTTTATTTTACACCAAAAGATTATTTGTGTATATTCTAAAGGCCAGTTTGTCTTTGATTTTGGCAATAACGTTTATTGATACTCCAGCCAAGAGGGTGGATTGTATTTTTTTTTTTTATTCGGGCATGTGTTCAGTGAATGTAATGTTTCCTCTGTTTCTCATTATAAGCCGTTTTCTCCATTAACGATTATAACTTCCATTTACAGTGCCAAAGTCACTTTGAAAATCATTCTTTTTTATGCGTCTCAATGATAAAAGTTTGAATAAATAAACTCGGAATGTACAGATTAGCCACTTGTGAAAATATTTCCACATTATTTAGCATTTATTTAATTTAATAATAATAAAAATCATTACAAATGATTAATAATTTGAGTAAAAAGTTTAATTCAAAAATAAACATGAATTCCAGAATGTCTTAGTATTTAGTTTGTTCTGCTTTTGCTTTAATCTGTTGACGATCATGTTCTCCAGCATGATTTAAGAATCATCCATATAACATCTTGCGCTTCAATGAAAGCAAGAACATCTGTCCATCTGTACAAAGAGGTTCATGATCAGTGTCACAAATGTACTTCTGTTTTTTAATATTCGTAATTGTGTATCGGTGCCTTCCACAAGTGAGGCACAACATTAGGTCTTGCTCAAAGTTACATTTGGTGTTGTTCAGAATGCACGTTTAAGGCATCTAAATGATACTCGCAAGCCAAAAACCGAGGGATTCTGTCGATCTGTAGGTCAGATGAGAAAATCGATTGATGTCTCTGTAGGAATCTAAATTTCACCATTTGCTCTCAGAGCAAATTAAAGTGGAATGAACAGTGAATGCATATCAGTCATTACGGTCTTATCCGAGTAATAGTGTCATTATGAGAGTAATAGTGTGTTTCAGTGGGATCAGCAGAGAGGTCAGGCGTATTAAGGGCCATTTCATGTCCTGCTCTCCCTTTTTCTTCTTGGTCACTGTATTTGTCTCTTTCTTTTGTCTCTCTATTATTAGCTATAGATTATAGTGGGGTTGCTGCAGAACCCATATAATTGAAATGTAATTATAAGTTTGCAGGTTGCACTGAGGTGAGTGATAGTGTTCTTTATCTTTTTCCAGAATGAAATGAATGTCTTTAACAATGGTTACCCAGATAAGTTTAAATGTGGCCCGTTCCTGTACACAGAGGAAGCGTTCAGTGGTTCTGCATGGCAGATAAGGATTGCCGCCATCAGTGCGCAGTGGGATTAAAAACATTAGCAGTTTGCTCAAGGTCACCACGCACCGTTCCTTCACAAGTACTTTCACAGCGAGATGATATATGAACAGAGGCACCGAACGCTTCCAGGCAAACACAAGTCTAATTAAAGTGGGGCAATAGCTAAATGTGATAATGCAGGAGAAAGGAGGTCAGGAGGAAAGAGAGAGAACGGAAGAAAACAAACAAGAGCACATGTAAACTGTCTGTTGGCTTCGATTCAGCTGTGGTGAATTTTTTCCACGGCTTATTGTAGCTGCAGTGTTAGGCATTGTAAAAAGATCAGGTTTTAAGGAATAACCTGCTTTAACCCTCAGTAAACCTGTTCTGTCATTTTTGACTGAAAAATGATGTTTTGTTTTTTAGAATTTTGTTCTTAATCGTAATAGTACGAAGCCTTAGTAAAGGTTTTGGCACTTGCTATGTGAACACGCTCAAAAAATTAATGGACATGATTCGAAAGGGTTAAATCATCCTGAAAAAAAAAAATACCGGTAGTCACACTTGTATTGTTTGCGGTTAGAAATGACCGCATTGGAAATGAATGGGGGATGAATTTCATCTAGTGGAAACGTTTGGTACTGCGCCCAAACAAAATCTTACTGAAAGCTAATTTTTTCGAGATATCAACCTCACACAATTGTTTAGTTTTATGGCTTTGATTTTCTTGTTATATTTGTGCATTTTTAATAATATTAAAATAAAAATAAAACTTTTTTCACTTCAGCAGTAACCTCTTAAAAAAGACCACACTTAAAGGTGCTCTATGTAACTTTTCTACTAAAATGAATCCTTTTTTTATTGCCTGTGTGTGAAGGGGTTGTAATCACACATTAAAATGATCCACTTGTCGAGTTTTGCTATTACCTCTGAAGGCCAGTATTCCTGTTTCTATGTGAAGTCTCACGGTCGGATTTACCGCGAAATCCAACGGATGTGACGTGCATGCGCGCTCCCGAGCCTCTCTCCTTATATACAGTCTATTGTAGACGGTCAGGGAGTTATGTCCGGTTAAAGGCGCACGTTTTTCGGCTTATATCTCAGTCAATCTTTGATCAATATTCCCAAGACTCTAATCGTTCGTAGTGCTGGACGGGGCCTTTCGAACGAGCCCACCCCCGAGGTCCAACTCGCCCGGCTCCCCGAGTTATATAGCCGTTCGAAATCGGGGGTCCCAGCGAACGGCGATCCGGTAGGGGGCATCCCCGAGGCCCGCCACTCTAGCGTTCGGGCAAGGGTTCCCCTGGGACCTCCTCCCCCGAATTTGAGCTCTCTGGGTCTTTGCGTTCCATAGATACGAGCGATTTTCTTCTGAGATCGTGACGTCAGCGGCGTCCGCAATTTTGCAGCGCGCCCGATGGTTTTCTGCTAATATCTCCACGAAAACACCACCAAAAACTATGGAACTTATATGGTTCTTTTCAGCTCGACTAGATGGTCCCAACGAGCTCGGTGCTCGCCGAATCCGTCAAGTATTCGCCGAGATATTTGCGTAATAGACGGTATTGTCTATGAGTTCGAGCACGAGCGCTCTTGTAAAATTTGGCTGCAATCTGAAACATCACCACTAGAGGCCGCTAAAAGTTACGTAGAGCACCTTTAAGGATGTGCTCTAAAGCATTCAAGATTTACGGCAATTTTATTTGGAAATTGTACTTTTTTTGCCTAAAAGTGGTTAACAGGTAATACATGGATCATAAGTATTCCATAAATAGAATTTAGTACCATAAAATCCCCTAAAAATACAAAATATTAAAAAAAAAAAACATTAGCAAACCATATGACTTTCTGTTTACTGTGGAACACAAAAAATGAGGCCAGAATGTTGAATCTGCTTTGTTCCATACACTGAAAGTGAATGGTGACTACAGATGTCAACAAGTTTCCCAGTGAATTAAATTTTGGTTTGTTTCTTGCACAAAGCTGACAGAAGACTTCTAGCGATAGACGATATATATAGCACTTCAGTCATAAAAATTAATTATATGATGCTTTTATGGAACTTTTGTCCTTTTTGACAGTCCCTTGTCCACATCCACCATCACTGTGTGTAAAAGAGCAGCGTGAACATTCTTCAAAATGTCTTTGTTGTGTTCCAAAGAAACAATTAAAACAAATTCAATGACATTAAAGTAAATGTTGACAGAATTTTCTCTTTTTTTGTGAACTATTCCTTTGAAAACATTCTTCATTACGATTTTTTCATTATTCTCAGTTGTTTTCTCCCTAAAATGTCTAATGCGTATGACATGTTCTTGTTTATTTCCAGAGAGTGTACTGGATGACTTCCTGCTGACGTATCCTGTGTTCATGTCCACCAGTGACCTTTGTCAGGCTCTACTTGGTCAATATCCTTATAATGACATGCTCACAAGCTCCTGTATACGTCATTGCTGATGTTGTTTTTGCTACAGTAGCTGCCTGACTACATTTTTAAAAGTGAAGTGTGTATTTTACAATTCAGTATACAATAGACACTACACATTTGTTAACTACTTTAACATGGACTAACAATGAACAATACTTCTACAGCGTTTATTAATCGTAGTTAATCTCAACATTTACTGGTACATTTTTAAGATTAATTGTGATATCTGTTAACATTAGTTAATGCACGAACATAATCATTTTTAATACTATTGGATTAAAAAATACAGTAAAAGAAATATTACATTTTAAAATGTATGTATTATATATAAATGTAAGTTGAATTTTCAGCATCATTACTCTAGTCTTCAGTGTCACATGATTCTTCAGAAATCATTCTGATAGGCGGATTTGCTGCTCAAGAAACATTTCTGATTATTATCAATGTTGAAAACAGTTGTGCTGCGTAATATTTTATATTATTATTTTATTTCTTAAACATTTTTTTCTGGATTCTTTGATGAATAGAATGTTCAAAAGAACGGCATTTATTTGAAATAGATTTTTTGCAACATCATAAATGTCTTGACTGTTACTTTTGATCAATTGAATGTGTCCTTGCTGAATAGTGCATATATGTAACACATACTGTATATTTACAGTACATTAGAATGCAATATATTTCTCTAGATAATTCATTAGTTAATAGATTATTTTAATAGTATTATATAGTTCACACATTAAACACTTATTATCAATAATACACAATGGTTGCACTTTATTTTACAGCATGTGCACTTACATGTACTTACCTAAGAAACTACTGGTAATATGAGGTAACTACATAGGTTAAGAGGTAGGTTAAGAGTTACTACCTAGTTATTTGCAATTACTCTAATAAGTACATATTACAGTATGAGGAACACAACTAAAATAAAGTGCTTCCCCCTTAATAATATATTACAATTTAAGTTTTGAAAAGAAATTTAAAAATAGGCACAATTCATCTTTGTCAACAAAACTTGAATTTAAGCATGAGCCTATATAATTTTTTTAAAGATCATTCAGTAAAGTTTCAAGATTTTGATGAGTAGTGTACACTATATTGTAGATAAACATGAATGTATTGTAATTTCCTAAGTGATATATTCTTCAGTTAACTAATGAAAGATGATCTGAGACCCCCATGAAGCAATGCTCGACTCATGGAACTGTACTATGACCGAGCAGCACTAGCTGTGTTATACATGCTCTTTTACCAGATCTTAACAACACGCTCTGTCTGGCATTAAACCACTTAACAAATCCTACGCCGTTTAGCCGAGGGCACGCAATTATTTCTCTCTTACTGAACCTCTGTTCATTTAATATGGAGAATTCGGCCTCAGGCATTTCCTCCTTCCTCTGAACTGTTGTTTTGAGCAGTCTAGCGTGCTGGAATAGATTTGATGCCTTAACTGCTCCTGGTCCACCTATTGTTCAAAGAAAGGACAGATGAAAGAGGAGGGGAGAGACACTCTGCTTAGGAAACGAAAAGTGCTGCACCTGCTGTCCCAGTGGAGCTCGCAGTGTTCAGACCTGCCGCAGGACGACGAGCACGCCAAAATATTCCTCAAGGTGCGGATGGAGAGAGAGAGAGAGAGAGAGCGAAAAGAGAGGGAGGGAATTATTTTTGGAAATACAAAAATGCCTCCACCCCTACAGTTTTTGATTTCTTAATGCCTCATAATGAGGGCGAGATCGTGAGATTATTGCTGGCTTCAGAGGATTTTTAAATGCCTCAGATCTTTTGATTATGTGAACATGTATTACAGTGAAATTGGTGCACACTTTTTTTGGTTACACTTCATTTTAAGGTGTCCTTGTTGTTACAGTGTAATTATTCATTCAGGTACTACGTAATATTAGGGGCCGTTTACACGACACCGTTTTCAACTAAAAATGGGAATGTGTATGCGTTTTGGCCGTTCATTTACACGACAACAGCGTTTTGGGGGCCTGAAAACAACTTTTGAAACCTGTTTTCTAAGTGCAAGTTTTTGATAACGATACAGTTGTTTTCTGTGTAAACTACTACATTTTGTGAAAATGGTGACGGCGTTTGCATGTTTATTACGTGTTCTTCAGACTATGTACACAGTGTTTGTTTACAAAGTGACATCGCCAACTACTGGCCTGGCAGCAGAATACACCGTTTTTAGTCGTTCTTGCGGGTCCGTGTGAACGGATATCATTTTGACAATGTTGTCGTCTTTACACGAAAAACGCAAAGGAAAAACTATTGCATTTTTAATACATCGCTGTCCTGTAAACGTATCCTACATTAACAACATTACTATAGGGTTAGTTGCCTGTAATTATAGTTGCTACATATGTAGGCTACTTACTATAGTAATGAGGACACTCTAAAAAAAGGTGTTACCCTTTTTTTTATTCAAATGAAATCAAATCAGATCTATTCGTTCAGACAGTGTCGTCAATATCTGATATATATTGGTTGGAGTAGTAATAAATTATGCCACATTCACAACCTGCAATTTCAATCTTGCGTTCATTTCATGTTTGCAGACTCTGTACAGACACGTTCTGGATGATCTCTGTGAGTTTCCCTCCCTGGAGAAGGATCTCAAAGAACTTCAGAAACTTCTAAGAATGCAAAGGAGACAGTGAGTCACTTCATCATCATCATCATCATCATCATCATCATAACCACACACACACACCCCCCACATCTGATTTTTACACAATGAATTGTATTAGTCTGGGAAGCTCTTTGTTATAGCAGATATTTTAAGACTCATTAAAGGGATACTTCACCTCTGGAAAGATGAATGTGTATTTAAAATGGGTCATTTATGTAGAAGAAATGTGAAATTATTTTTGAATTTGGAGCTTTCTAGACTGAGAAAAGCCAGAAAATTTATTTTTGGCTTATGTGGATGAAAGACAACAACTCCCAGAATGCACTTGCTTTGCTGCCCTGGGGAGGCCACGCCTACCGGTAACAGAGCGCAGTAGTTAAACAACAAGTCTAGGCTGTGAGTCTCCGTGATGAGTCTGCCCGGGATTTCGAGATCGCCCAAAATGTCCTCGATTCGGCTTTTGCGTTCTACAGTCGCCATTCATTATGTTTACTGTGGCGAGCAGGACGAGACTGAGGGCCGCGGGAGAATGGCGCGAGGCCGGTGGCGTGATTACCGATGAGCGACACCTGTGAGACGCACCGGTCTCGTATCTCTCACGGTCCACGGAGGAGCGGGAATTTTCTTAGCAATGTTAAAACGCACATCAACCGATCACTTGTTTAGCTTTCATCTAAACACTACATTCAGATTCACCAATCGGAATGAATTCAGTTAGACTGAAACAAAAGGTGTGCATGTAAACAATGAATGGCGACTGCAGAAAGCAAAAGCTGAATCCCGATCTCGACGGCCGGACATGTCCGGGCAAAAAGAGGATGAATGGTAACCCCTACTTCTCAGCTTTCTCCTACTAAGTTACTCCGCTTTCTCCACATAACAAGAGCCTGCTAGCTTAGCTTCCAAAAAAGATGTCTGACACTATGTGTACATACTGTAAGTGAGATTACACCCTCTATGGGCGGGTTGAGAACATGCGGGACAGCCCCTACTACTGGCTGTACTAGAACTGCGACATGAATTTAGACAACCAACAGTAGTCGCATTCTTGGACTTTACAGCAGCCTTTGATAGTGTCGACAGAGGAACCATCTGGTCTCTACTAAAAATGAAAGGAATCCCCAATAAACTGGTTAACCTCTGTGCATCAATGTATGCAACCACAAACTGCAGAGTCAGAGCCTATGGCGAAGATGGCCATGCCTTTGCCACCAAAACAGGGGTGCGACAAGGGGGCATACTATCACCTTGCCTCTTCAACATTGCTATTGACCATGTACTCAAAAAAGCATTAGATGACAACCTACTTGGAATAACCATCTACCCCTCAGAACGACAGATCACTGATCTTACATTTGCGGATGATATAGCAGTCCTTGCAGTATCGATGGACTCCATGCAAATAATGATTGATCATATTACCCGAATGGCCGCCTCTGTTGGTCTGAAGCTAAATTGTCAAAAATCCAAATACATAACTGCTAACATTGACCCTACAGCTTCCATTAATAATCTAACCATCGAAAATGAACCAATGGAACATGTCACTTCATTTACCTATTTAGGAAGCAACATTACCCTAATGGGCAATACAGATGAAGAAGTCCAAACAAGAATACAAAGGGCCTCCTCAATCTTTGCGGCATTGAATTATTTTTGGAACAGGCGTGACATTCGTATCAAGACAAAAACAAGAATTTACTGTGCTATAGTTCGAGCGACACTTGCCTCTGAAACATGGCCCTTGAAAGTCGACCAACAAAAAAGGATGGAAATATTCGACCACCGTTGCCTGAGACGCATAGCAAAAATTCGAAGGTCCGAGAACGCTGTGGGCTAAAGGAGCCCGGCGTCGCTGGAAATGGATAGGACATGTCTTACGTATGCAAAATAGTCGCTTACCACTACTAACCTTTATGGCCACCCCTGGACCCTCTTGGAAACGCCCTAAAGGAGGCGTTCGTACAACAACAAAAAGATACATTTATAAGACTGCTGAGTCTTTTATCATGGTGCCCTTTGGACTGAGCAGAAAGAATTATGACCGGGATTGGCAAGAACATATTCAAACCTTGGCAATGGACCGAGCACAATGGAAATGCATCACAGAGGATGTCGTCCATACCCAGCTAGGGTGAACAGGACGCTAACTAACTAACTAACTAACTACTGACTGTAGTCTTTAGCCTCTGGCCAAAAAATCCTCCGATGACGCAAAATGACGATTTTTGCGTCATCGGAGGATTTTTTCCAGACAAGAAAAAATACATAAATCTCTCGTCTTAGGGGGATATGAGGGTGGAAAGCACGGTAATTTGAAAATACTACAGGTTTTCTACTAATACAAAGCTTAATGCTAAATCCTGAAGTATCCCTTTAATTATATTCGCACAATAACATCCCTTATTCATACTCCTAAAAATGCAAAATGAGAGATGGAAAAAGACAAAGTGATGCCCTATAAACTCTCGTCTTTTAAATAAAAGCATGTTGTTAAGGAGTTTATCCATGCAACCACTTTGGGATTAGCCCAACAAGGCATGGTTTTCCTTGACATTCTCCCTTTCACTTCTGGGAGACGTGATGAGAAATAGAGTAAGAGAGAGATAATAAAGGAGTGAAATGATGTGACAAAGAAGACAGTTGAGATCCTCATCAGTCGCTCCCCAGATGACAGACATGATAACTGAGCTTTAATTAGTTTAAAAGGATTTCAAAAACTGCAGTTTTAAATGACTTCTTTTGAATGACTGTCAACATCAGAAATTGACTGTTACAAGCAATTACTCCGAGTGTCTTAAACAAATCATGCCAATTCAAACCGAGAGGCATGTGCCCCTTCCGATTTTTGAGATTTCTTTTATTCAATGCAGCTTCCAAACTTCCATTAATTAAATCAGGTTACACTTTATATTGTGTATTTAACTACTATGTACTTACATCAAAACATAAGTACAATGTACTTATTGTGTTCATGTTGCATAGCAAAAAATCTATCTGAAATGCTTGTTTCTGATTGGCCAGTCGCGACATTCCAAGATTAGTTTATTCTCTGATAATGACCATTGTCAATAGTAACGCTGTATCATGACCACCTCATCCGGGCATTTAGGCCGATGCTTCTTTCAAACGGAGCTGGCGTTCCTCCTTAAAGTGTAATAAGTGGTGCAACTGTACACATTATCCCTTAACTTAAGTGTCACCGGCCCACCTGTGGGCCCAAATCCATTACATTTTTAAAACAGTAATATCCTATACTAAACCTAAACTAATCTTGACAAACTATATATCATTTGAAAGCTTACAATCTCTAGTTTCCATATTTGGTGATTGATTTTCAAAATGAATTACAGAGGAGCCGTAATTTATCAATTTGCAACAAGAATATTTCCATACTCCTAAGGCGTGTTTAGACCTTTATTTTGAAATAGTGATGAACAGGAAAAATCTGGAAAGAAGGGTAGAAACCTCAGTTTGTTTTCATGCCAAGAGTTCAAAAGATAGCATCCATTTAATTATTTTAGAAAAAAAGGTCTGAATTTTTTTAAATGTAAAGAAAAAAATTATAGATTCACCATTTGTGATGTGGCAGGAAGCTATGACGCACATGCGTGTTCTTTTTGTGTTTCTTAGAGGTTGAATTCATATCAAAAGCTGCCAAACTTCTCATATTACTTCTGAATAGGATGTCTACTTCATAAATTGTATGAAAATTGTGGAAATAATGGTTCAGATCACTCAAAACACATATGGAAATGGAGGCGCCCTTATATGGGCAAAATCTTATTGGAAGCTCATTTTTTGAGATATCAACCTAAAATTTGAAACACAACTTGTTCAGATTTTTGGCTTTGATTTTTTTTTTTTTTTTGCAGTTTTAGAGTCGCCCAGGTTTTGAAAATATATATTTTATATAAAATATGAATCATTTTTTTTTTTACATTGTACTTTTTCATAAACTCAAACTTCTATAACTTTTTTTCTGTTTCACTTTCTTAATTTATTTCACTTCTACAAAAATCTGCCAAATGTCTTCTTTAAAACAAGACCAATCTATGTCTATATAAAGGGTTAAATGTCCATCTTGTTTGAACTTGTTCATTCGCCTAGACTCAAAGCTGCTTGCTAGGAACTGTTTTTCTTCGCAGAAGCAACAATTAACTCAAATCAGTATTTTGTGTCTAATTATTTACGTATTCCAAAATCACCCTGTCTGGGTTTATTTTGAGATTACAACCGTTTGGGTGTACATTATCCCTTACTTAATATTATAATTATTATAACGTCATCTTATGCTTTCCCTATATAAGGAACTATAAAATATTTTTTGAAGCCTGGATTCATGACGGCCAAGTACAGTAAGGTCAGGGTCAGGTTTTTTTGCGGTTCATGAGCCTACAACTTAATTAACGCCGGATTAGGAAAGTGGCGTCGTAATATTCCTCTAATACATATGCAGACGGAGCAGAATGAATGAATTCCTCCAGGCCAAAGAGCTTCACACATCCGATATTTGTGTTTAGTAAGCAGCGGTCCTGCCGTTGACCTCAGCTATACATCACACTCCTGCTGGTGCTTCATGAAAGGCCAATGATTAATTAGAGAGGCATCAGATGGGGAATATGGAGACTATAAAGCTCTCTCCGATTGCCCGTTTTTATCAGGCTGTTTAATCAGAATGAGCTGTGCATGGATGAGGACGTTGTGCGCTTTCATTTAGATGAGGCAATCAGTAAATCACGTCGTGTCAGACTTTAATGTTAGAGCTGATGATTCAGGCCTGATCTGAATGAGAAAAGGCTTTTTTACGAGCGCTCCTCGCAGCGGGTGGGAGATGCCATCCTGCAGTATTGATATAATGGCACATTTGTATTTCAAGTGATCCCTTTGGCTCATTCTTCTTTATTTCTTTCTGTCTTCCCCTCTCATCTCTCAGCACGGTAGATGAATCCTCTCCGCAGAAGAAGGTAAGAGTTAAGACCATCCGTTATATCACACAGAAGCTCAGTGAAACCACCTGGGCGCACTTTGATTGAACTTTGTGTGGTTTGAAGAGAAATCATCATGATATTGATGACTGAACCATGGCAATGCTAAGATATATAAATGCGGGCGGACATACGATGAGAAACACTGATAGATCTCAGAAAACAGCTCATTGTAAAAATCTGACCACACAAGATAACTGCGTTCACGTTAGACTTTGAAAACACTGGGTTTTTCTCAGATCTTGATGCCGAATGACACAAGACACGCGCTTGTGGAATAAGCTGACAGGATGCCAATAAAGCCAATGACATGCAAAGTGAATTCAGATTAGTGGGCAAAAATCTAAGTGCCAGGTTTCCTTAAAAAAAAAAAAGACTTAAACTGCATTTGCTTTTTAAATCACTAATGGTTTTAAGACACTGTATAAACTTTACATGTTGTCAGCTCTTAAGCATAATCAATGTACTGTAAGTTTGTGCACTCAATGCTCATTCAATATTCATCAACTCGCCCTGCCCTGGTGACAAAATGTATTTACATGTAGAGGTCTTAAAGGTACAGCAACAAAAACATGTACAACTAAATTAGTACTGCTTTTGAGACAAGAAACTTATTACGGAAGGAATTGTGATTTATATAGTGATATATGTCGGGTTCGCAGGACAGGTTTTGTTCAGTCATACATTCTTTGTTCACTTCATTCTCATTCGAAATAGCGTGAGAGCGCAATCCCGTAAGTACTGACGTGAGTGGAAAGTTCTGCGCATGATATACTGACGACGCGCAAATTAAAGAACACAGACGCAATCAGATCATTTCCATTATGACCAACGCAATCTACCACAAATTAGCATCTGGTTTAATACGTGCTTTTTGGGCGGTGAATAATGGCACTAAATACTAGTAAACTGACGAGCGCAAGCCTTAGTAAATCACCTTGCATGATTCATTTAAATACTCTCTTCCTATGAATGTTGCGTCTGAAAGAGAAACTCCTACAAATGCATATTATAAGGTCAGCCACAAAAATAACTCTCTTCAAGCCTTTTCAGCGCTAATTTTTCACTGCGTGTCTTTAGTAAATCCTGACAGTAGGGTTTTAAAGCCAAAAGAGGGATTTGCGCTGGCGCAAGCTGCTAGTAAATCTGGCTCTTAATCCTTAATTTTTAAGTATTATTTATATTTTATTTTAGTTTAACAATAACAAAATGGTGCTTGCAAACTCAGAGTGCTTAAATTATGCAGCATGAGGCTTTCACTGTTGCTTTAACGCGTGTGTGTTATTCTCATAAGCAATAATATTCTCAAGGCCACATGTTTACTGTCTTGCAGAATAAAGCGCTCTTCCACCAGCTGAGTCTGAAGGAGAACTGGCACCCTGTGAGAGGAGCTCAGAGGGAGAGGAAGGAAGGTAAGCTCATCAAATATTCCCTCATATTTCTCTCACAGAGGTCTGACTGACTGCGGGAGCTTGTTTATGTGGAACAGCATGTGAGAATCTCGTCGTATGGCGTTTTGATGTGGGTGATTGTGTGTCTTCAGTGCTGTGTCGCGTGGACGTGACCATAGATTCCTACGTGAGCGTGAGGACACATAGCGAGGTGTCCGTGCAGGAACTGCTGAGGACTGTGGCCGAAAGGCTCGACTGTGCTGAGGACGACATGGTGTTGATGGCCGTCACGTATCCTGGAGGTCTGATCGAGTTCATACGTCTTTCTATTTTCATTTTGATTGACATTGCTGCAGCTTTTGTGTTTGAGACATCACTGTCCACAGGTCTGCAGGGGTGCTATTATGCTTTTGAACTAGTCATTAGGGTACAACAAGCCCCCTCTTCTGATCCTAATGTATCTGGTGATTGAAACAGTATATTTATGGTTATTTAAAATGATCAAACAATATAATGTGTGTATAAAGAAAGGGTTAAAAAAGAAAAAAAGAAACTGCCTGGTAAGGCTGCTAGTGCAATAGGGCAGGCCAGGGGTGTCCTAACCTGCACCTGGAGGGCCACTGTCCTGCAGAGTTCAGCTCCAACCCTGATTAAACACACCTCAACCAGATTTAACACCCCTGCAACAAGGTGATATGGGGAAAATTTATCACCATATGCAAATACTTTTGATATAGCAACAGATTATTGGAGTAATAGTTAGTTTTTAGAAATAACCACTTTGGCAAATTATGCATTCATTTTTAATGGTGCACTGTACTGTAGTATGATGTTCATCTTGGTAAAGGCATGTTTCACTATTGAATTGTGAGTGAAACGGTCAGTGCCGGTCGACTTTCATTCATCGGCCCAAACAAATCTGTTCCGTCCTGTTTATTCAAATTAATTTGTTGCGTTTTCAATTATTCTGCATATTCTTCCTTTCAGAGTTTTGATGGTGTTTTAGTATTTTGGTTCCAACTTAAATGTTTAGGTGCTTAAAGGGATACTACACACTTAAATATGACAAATCTATCATCATTTACTCACGTTCCAAAACTTTCTTCTGTGTAAAATAAAAGAGGTTTCTGTCACACTTTATTTTAAGCTGTCCGTTTTACAGTGTAATTATACATTTAAGTACTGAGTAATAATAATTAACTACATGTACTTACTATAAGGTTAGGATTGGGGTTTGGTTTAGTTACATGTAATTATGTTTAATTTATAGTTATTACTACATTAACTACAAAAACTACAAAAAAACAGTGTTTCTGAAGGTTGTTTAAAAAAAGGTGTTTTTTGTCTATAAAATGTAAAGTTAATGGGCTCCAGTGTTGTTGGGTTCCCTCCCAGTATTCTTCAAAATATCTTTTTAAACTCATACAGATTTTCTTAATGACATTTTTATGGTAACACTTTACAATAAGGTCTCATTTGTTAACATTAGTTAATGTATTAACTTGCATGTACTAACAATGAGCAATACATTTGTTAAAGTATTCATTAGTCTTTGTTAATGTTAGTTCATTTATTGTTTGTTCGTGTTAGCTCACAGCGTGTTAGCCAATGTTAACAAATACAACTTTTGATTATAATAATGCATTAGTAAATGTTTAAATTAACATTAACTAACATTAATAAATGATATAGAAGTACTGTCCATTGTTAGTTTACGATAACTGATGTAGTTAATGATAACTAATGAAACCTTGTTGTAAAGTGTTAATCATTTTTACTCTAAATCCATATTTTCACTTCAAATACTGAAACACTGTTGATTTAACAACAAAACTGAATACCATAAAGTCATAAGCGTCATAAAAATATCTCAAACTAAATATCATATATGTGATCATTTGAGGGATTCTCATTAGCTGCATAATTTTGCAACATGTTATTACATGAGAACTAATCTGAAAATCAACCTTTGGACACTTCCCGCAATGACCTCATGAATCAGGAACAACATTTTCTGTGTATACAGTGACAACAGGTATTTAAGGACATGTTGTGATGCTTTTTTGGGAGACAGACATTAAGAAGGCCTTCAGGACCATTGTATCCTAATTACCAAATTGGGGCCCAAATAAATGATTTTTAAATACATTTTCTGCTGTACCTCACTGTTTACCCCATTGATGCTTTCTCTTCAGTCTTCATCGTTCTTCCTCTCTCTTTCTCTTTCTCCAGAGAAGGTTCTGCTTCAGTCGGATCAGTGTGTGTTCTCGTCTTCACTCAGTGCCGCTGAGAGGCTGCTGGTCTGCAGAAGAGACCTGACTGACATCATGGTGAGAGTTAGAGTGATGCTTTCTGAACCGCTCTTAAAACAAACCTGCTTTCCACACCATTAGTTCAGGTCCACACACGACTACACTTGCCTTTCTTTTCTGCCTGTATTCTTTTTTTTTTTTTTTATGTTATGCCAGACTTTGTGAATGACCCACTTTAACTAAGTATAACGTTGAACAGATGAATGTCTGTGTTGTGTTCTCCCAGAGTCCCTTGACTGATAATGGGCACCAGCGCTCAGTAAAGATGCTGAGCATGGACACGTGGGATGTTGCCGTGTCGCTCACCAACTGTGACTGGAGTCTCTTTAGTAACGTCCATGAGGTAAAGTCTTCACATTTCACACAGTGCAGCACAAGAGGAGGTGTACTAGAGAGCATATCCTTGACATGCAAACTAAAATGAAGTTTACATGTAAAATAGGCAATGAGGTAGTTCTCAAACACAGTTGCTTTATATAATATCAGTCTGGAATGAAAGAAAATAGTTCCTACAAAAAGGGATATTCTACCCAAAAAAGAAAATGATCAATTGCTCACCGTAATGTCGTTTGAATTTCTGTCCCTCCATTGAAAGTCCATTTACCCCAAATTTTGAGGTTTGTTCTCACGGTGGTTGAGCTTGTTTATCATATTTGATTTGTTTATGAATGTGCATTGAGCAATTTTATATGAGAGAACAATGAAATTAATTCAAATTGAAAATTAAATTAAATCTGTCCATCATATAAAGTGATCATGTCTGTTGGATTAATAAGATTCATATGTATTACTAAGGATTACGTTTTCTATGTCTTTGTGATATTTGGGTGGAATTTCAGTTGAATATACAAGGTCCCAAGCTGAAATTTAGAAATGGTAATGGGCATTTTGAACACCATTCACAACAGACCGGACCATCTGACCAATCAGAGCAGAGCAGGCTCTCGGGAAGAAAGTGGTTTCCACCACACTCGAAACCGGTGTGGTGTAGAGATGAGTTCCACCTTAGGACCCAAGCAATCCGATGGGTTCAAAGCACGTTTTATGGGTAATCACTTTAGTGCCTGGTTATAAATGAGATAAAATCGCTTTATTATTAATTCACTTTATATATATACACGTTTGAACTATGTTATCACGACCATTAAAAGGATAATTCACTTTGCAATTAATTTTTGGTATGTTTTAGCTTACCTATAGGGCATCCGAGATGTAGGTGTCTTTGTTTCCGCAGAAGTTTCAATTTTGATATTTTTAGGTCAAACCGTTCTTGTCTGTCAGTCATATAATGCAGGTCTATGGTCACCACCTCAAAGAGCATGCACAGAGAAGTCCAAATTAAACATGATTTAATGACTCGTAAATGTAAGTACACAGTGATGGCCTAAGACACGAAACGAGCGGTTTGTGCGAGAAAACGAACAGTATTTATATTGTTTTTACCTCTTGTAAACACAGCCACGTCCAAGTGATCTGAGGGCGCGGGCGCTTCGGTCTGTGCGTTACAAGAGGTAAAAACGATATAAATACTGTTCGTTTTCTCACACAAACCGCTCGTTTCGTGTCTTAGGCCATCACTGTGTACTTACATTTACGAGTACTAGCATGTAACCGAAGCTATAGATTTGTGAAATTAAACATTTCTTGTTCTTAGTGGGTTTTTTTTTTTTTTTTTTTTTTTTTACAAACTGCTTTTATCTCATCTTGTATATAGCAGCAGGATTTAGCATGTGCATCTCTACCACACCGGAATCACAAATCCTTAAATGAGCTGTTTCAGACACTGTGAGAAAAGTGATGATGCTGCAATGTATATTGAGAAAATTAAGGTGTTTTTTGACCTTGGATGCATGTAAACCTATTGTAGGAAACCTAAACCAAATTAGGAACCAAATTAGAAACACAGCTGGCTTGTAAATCGAACATACTCAATAGTCTTGATTCAATACTGAGAGACTCTACAATGTTCAACCAGGCCCAGCAACCATAGCCATGTAATTTAATTTTCCTTTCTACTGCGCAGCAAGAGCTGGTGCATTTCACGTTGAGCCGCGATGCGAGCGCTGGCCACACGGTGGCGCTGGAGCAGCTGTTGCAGCGCTGCAATGAGACTCAACAGTGGGTGATGACCGAAGTGCTTCTGTGCACAACCCTCTGCAAACGTGTGCAGCTCTTCAAGAAATTCATCAAGATCGCAGCACAGTAAGTACACATGCACAAACACACACACTCGCTGATGGAAATAATCCCATAAACTCCCAAGGACCTGCGCCATATCGTAAACTTTTTGATAAGCATCCACCTTACAAGCCAAAACACCTTTGCAATCACATAGCAACACGCTAAAATAACTCCTGGTTGTAATTCTTTCTACTCAAATAAATCAAATGGTGTACATGCTCATGTTCTCCTCCTTTCTTGTTGTCTCTCTCACTCTTTCATAGCTGTAAAGCACAGAGGAACCTGAACTCGTTCTTTGCGATTATTATGGGACTGAACAGTCCCGCTGTCAGTCGACTCACTCAGACATTGGAGGTAGGAGGACAACAACTCCAATACACTACTATATATGTGGAGTGGTAGTGTTGCAGTCAGATTTTCAACATCAAGATATTAGAGTGTATTGCAAACTGTGCTAAACAGGAATTCAATTGTTCCATTTTTTTAACTGTCCTAAATTCAGAAAGTCCCTGGGAAGTTCAGGAAGTTGTTCTCCGAGCTGGAGAGCCTGACGGTAAGTGACTGTCTCATCACAATCTTAAGTTGCCTCCTGCTAGTTCGCCTCCTGCTAGAGCATTTTGTGCTGTTTACGGCTCATTAGGATGTAATATATGAAGCCGTAATCATATCAGAGACTCCAGGGAGGAAACGGCAGGTGGCATTACAGAGGAAGAGATTTGAGACAAACCAGATGCTTTCACGGGTAAAATAATACAAATATGTACACATTTATGCTTGTGCATGACCCACAGGACCCTTCTTTAAACCATAAAACCTACAGAGATGCCTTCAGGAAGATGAAGTCTCCCAAGATCCCTTTCCTACCTCTGCTACTGAAAGGTGCTACAACCAAAAACATACACAATATCATCAGATCATTAGTAATCTGCACATGACATCGCAGCCACAAGCTATTTGTGTGTCTGCACTAAACACAAAACGGCTCTACGATGTTAGACAAGGTCTAAAAATAAAAGAAACATATGCATGGATGAATAATTCACAATATGATCAATAACATAAATTGTTTAAATATGAGGGTCAGGATTTTAGACTGAGGCAACCCAACACAACAGATATTAATCATTTCCGGGCCCAAACACTATCAAATGCCAAAAGCAAACGGCTCAAATAAACATTCACTGTGTGTAGTAATACTACTGACAAAAAAATCATGATCCTAACCTATTCCAACATCTCAGATGGCCAGACAGTGATTTAATCTTTTATGAATCTTTAAGTATTGGGTTCTGTAATGTAGTGCACAATGTGAGTTTTTAAAAGCTTAGCTTAAATGAGTGATATGAATAAGTAGTTCTCGTAAACGGCTGTTGAGATAGTTAAACCTAGTAGGCTTGGACCCCCAAAACAGTATTCTTAAAATCATGACTTAAAGGAATAGTTCGCTTAAAAATGAAAGTTATGTCATAATTTACTCACCCTCAAGTTGTTTCAAACCTGTGTGAATTTCTTTCTTCTGTTGAACACAAAAGAAGATATTTTGAAGAATGTCGGTAATCAGACACCATTGACTTCCATAGTAGGAAAAAAAAAAAACTATGGAAGTCAATGGGGTCCATCAACTGTTTGGTAACCGACATTCTTTAAAATATCATCTTTTGTGTTCAACAGAAGAAAGAAATTCACACAGGTTTGAAACAACTTGAGGGTGAGTAAATGATGACAGAACTTTCATTTTTAAGTGCACTTTTCCTTTAACAAGCGGTTTGAAAGAAATAATTAGCATTTATCACTAGTTTCTTTATCACAATGTATCTGGTTAGGACATGTTGAGAGTCTCTTTGAAAGACTTTTGGACATTTTTGCAACAGCAATGTGTGTAGTGAAATTTGAACAAGCATTCTATCTAAACAGATATTACCTTCATTCACGAGGGCAACAAAACCTTTCTCGACAACCTGGTCAACTTCGATAAGCTAGTAAGTCAATAATTGGGCCTTATGCAGGTCCTTTTATTATCGTTTATGTTTTAATTAAAGGGATAGTTCACCCAAAAATGTATTCACCCTTATGTCATTCCAAACCTATGATATTTTCAAGAATGTTGGTCACCAAATCGTTTTGGTTACCATTGACTTCCATTGTATGAGGGGACATTTCTCAAAATTCACAGAAGAAAGTCATACATGTTTGAAATGACACGTGGGTGAGTAAATGATGACAATATTAATTTTTGGGTGAACTATCCCTTTAATGTCACATACAGTACCATCAAGTGAGCAAAACAAGCTTATGTGGGATGTATTTTGTGTGCAGCACATGATAGCAGACACAGTGCGTATTATCAGGCAGTGTCGGACAGATCACATGGGTAAGTTCTCTGCTCTGTAATCTCTGCACCGCAACCACATCCAAAAGGAATTGCACAAAAAAAATTAGACTCTTTCAAACATTTTTCCCAAACACTTAGCTCACAATCTCCTATTGGCCAGGTAAGCAGATAATCACGCCCCGATCTCATGCCATTGGTTGAGCTAATGTTGCTGTTGCTGGTCGGACTGCTCAAACAACCAAAATGTTTTGATAGCGCCAGTGTTGCACTTCTCAGTAAAATCAGCCTAAAAATGCTTTATTTGGTTGTCTTTTCATATTAAGCCTGGATAGCAGAACGTATTTAAAACAATGACACACTTCAACTTGTATTTGAACACACAGTTCCGTATATATTACTGCATTACCCAAAAAAAATAGTTCATCACAGTTTAGTGACTTCAAGTACACTGAAAGTCAGCCTCACTCCTGTTGTGTTGATTCTCTATAGTTATACTAATGATTTTTGTCTTTTGTCCATTAGGAAACATGTTGTCCCAGAAGGACAGCGTGGAAGTGAGAACGTACATCAATTACCTGCACGTCATCGACAATCAACAGACTCTGTTTGAGCTCTCACATAGACTCGAGCCCAGGACATAGAACAACTCCATACATCCTAAATCAACTACTAAACGAGACAGGACAGAAGACTGTGATGAGTAAGTCCTCCACTAGGGGGAGACACACTCCCACCAACCACACAGTGTATCGCACAGCCAAAGAAATCTCGACAAGATTAATAATGTGAAAGGAAGAAAGACGCTGAATCATGCAAGACTGCAAAATATAAAATTGGCTTCTGAAATCTGCAGAACAGTTGAAACAGAAATGAAACATTACAGTGATCCAGTGTTCTGTAAATTACAGTACAGAAACATCATGTTGAGAATCCGATGTTTTTGTACAGCAGACTTTCACTCAGAGTTTTAGTTGTAATGAGCCAGTTTGCCACTTCAAAATAGTTTCACAACAATAGCCAGTGGATGGTTTTTAGCATATGCATATTTGAGAAAATAATCTTCATTTCTATGTAGTCCAATTCGTATGGAATTTGAGCTACATGCACAAATCTAAAACAATTTGATGCCTTTTTAGATCATGTCCAACAAACTATTTGTAGACAATCAGAAACATATCTCAAGGTAGCACACTGTATTTTAGGTACAGTATTGCTTCCAGAAGCAAGAAGTAGAAATGTAGATTAAAGAACATTAGTTGAACTTGCACACACTATAAGGACATCTTTAAATAATGCATATCTTTAAGAAAATATATGCAATTTATTTAGCATAATTTTACATAATAATTGGATACAAATTATGGACTAACCTCCTGTTTGAAAACAACTATGAGCAATGGTTCTGACACTAGATTGTGCTTGAAGAAAGCAAAAGTATAGATATCTTTGTATAAGTTGTACTTTGATTTATGAGACATTAAGATATTTATCAAACAACAAAGTTGTCCCCGATTCAGAAGGGAAGACAACGCCTAGGTTTTAAATACAAAGAAATGATGTAATGTAAATGTGATCAGATGGTCTGAAGGATTTGGCGACGCCATTGATTGACCAGTCTGATAATGCCTGAGGTTCATACGTGAACTCTGTAAATACTAAGACTTTTTAAAAAAATAAATACAAAAAAAAAAAAAAAAAAACAGGCCATAAAGCAATAGAAAGGTGTGCATCTCACCTTCAGAAAAGAATTGTTAGCAGTGACTGACTGTAGCTGCTGTTTGCACTAGTTTTCTTTACTAAGAGCCTGACATTAAAGGGAAAAAAAATCCTTTGCCACTGTCTGTTTCTTTTTTGTGTGCTCATGCTGTAAAATCCTATCTTTTGCCTAATATTTAGTTTACCTTACATTGCATGCAAATGTCAACTAGACACGTACTGCCACCTAGTGGTAGGAATGTGAATTGACAGACATTCCTGTTAAAGATGCTGCATTTAAATTTTTTTTGGAGAAATTTAAGTTAAAATACATGTTGCTCCAAAATACAATGCTATTATTCTACTTTGAAATGTGCGTTCCATGTCGTAATGTATGTTTTTGTTTTGGTCTGTGTTATCCCGCCCACTACCAATTTACCCAATAGTAGCCATTTTGACACACCCGGGGGCTGTTCCATAAATGAAGCTTAGAAAAGCGGGGATTAAACTCCAAAACCGGACTTGAATGAGCCTAACAAATAAGTTGGGGCTAAAGTGGTTCCATAAAAGGTAATTGAAGTTCACACAATCTCACTAATTTGATCCAGGTTTATCTAGTCTAGATAATTGCGTGTGCACGCGTTTCTGAAGCAGCCCTAGAGGTCGATCGTGGATCAAATCGATCCATCATCAAACAGCGTAGTTTTTGTGCTGTTTTATGCATTTGTGACATGTTTTTTTTTTTTTTCTCAGTGCAAAAATTACATTTTACAGTTATATTCTCCATCTGTAAATGTTAGAAAGTCGTGCAAATGTATCCATTTTGCTGCTAATCTTCATATTGAACGAGCGCTGCTGCGCGCATGCGCGCCAAATAGGAGCGCAATAATTCTGATTAAAAAATATACATTTTGCTTGGAAAATTAAAATGCGATATTTTAGAACACTAGAAATATCTTCTAATTATAATAATTTCTCTTTAGGATGTTGGATAAGTTGCAGTGAACTTCTAGCTCATTACACTCATTTTATACTTCTAATAGGCCTAAATAAAAAAAATTGAACAGAAGTAGCCTAATTCAGGGAAGATTTTTTTTAAGAAACTAAATATATAAAGATACAAAATATAGTTTTGGGTATAGGACCTATGCTAATAAAGATATAGGCCTATACTTATTTAGAATGCTGAGAATTGCAGCTTTTAATGCAATGATTTTTTTTTGAGAAAGCAAGAATCCCCAGTTTTAAATAAATGGTTAGATTTAGTTTCTAAAGTACATTATGGAAAGGATAACATTAAATTAAGAACAAATGTATACATTTTGAAAAGATATGTGCAACTCTAAAATCAAAGAATATTCCATAAAATAAAGGAATATATATTGGCCTACATTTACTACATTTTTATGTAACCTTCCCTTTTATTTCTAGTTATTTGTAATTTTATTTATCTACTTATTTAATATTGAATATTTGATATTTAAATAATATTACTTGAATAACTATTAGGAATTATGTGTCATTCATTATAAGAGTTTGATATATGTGAATGTTATATTTTTATTAATATTTATTTATTGTTTTATTTATATGTATGTGTTGGTATTATCACAAAAGAAAAAAAAGTAGAAGGAAAAATAAGGAATATTTATTGGGGGAAAATAATGTCTTTAAAGGAACTGTCCATTTGTATAATTGTGTTAAATGTGTTTGAATTGAAAGACATAATAAAGTACATAATATATATATATATATATATATATATATATATATATATATATGAGACAGTGTAGAAAAAAGAATTCTCTGATAACCGAGGCATTCCTTAATTAAAATGTCTTTATTACAAAAATGACATGTCCTAAACGGACAACTTTAAAACGCCTTATATATGTGTCTATATTGCAGCCTTATTTAAGTTGATTTTCTGTATACTGTGTATTTATAAAGTCCAATAATGGTATTAGAGACTGTCAGTGGTAATATCATTGTGTTCTTGTCGGTCAGTGTTGAGGATCTGTGTAACAACTGAGGCTTAGCCTGACAGTTAGCCTGCCCTGGACCAGGCTAGTTTCCCAGCATAAGTTGCCAGGGTAACTGAGTTTGAACTTTTTTAAGTTTGATTTATGAAACCGAATCTACCAAAAATAAGCCTGACTAACCGAAATAAGCCTGGCTTATACTCTAATCTTGGTTTATGGAACAGCCCCCAGGTTGCCAGTTGTTCGGAAAACAGCCTATTACAGCCATGAAAGCGAGCAGACAAACTGGGTCTGCGATTGCAGATCCCATCTGATCTAAAACGCCTCGTCAATAAAAACGTGGCAAACGTATACATTAGCCGATCAACTTACCATGTAAATCTCAATTTATACTTCTGTGTCGAACTCACGCTGTAGCTACGTCGTAAGCGGTGTCTAGCACACCTCTCCATCAATTCTACACAGACCGCAAACGCTGTGATTGGTCTGCTAGAACCCCTGCCTCCCCCATTTCAACTGCTCTCCTCACTCTCAGTATTACATACTGCACCTTTAAAGTCACCATGAAATCAAAATGGACAAATTTTTTATTTTATACCGCAGCATTTATTATAAATGATCCGTGTTACTTCCCCTCCACCTCTTGCAACGACATCTCTTCTCTGATATACATTATAATTGAGAATAAATGACTGGCAACGTCTGTTTCACCCTAACATTAAATTAACCCTGTAAAATGCCAGTCGAGCAGTTTTCTTTCATGTGCTAACACTTCCTGATGAAACTTTAAGAATGAGGGGAATTTGAATGGCTCCATTTTTTTTTTTTGTTAAAAAGAACCTAGTTTTTAATTTACAGCCGTGTTTGTAGTTGTACAAGTATTGCTTGTAGTTTTGTTAAAATCTCAGTGGCTATGCAAACTTCCAGTATAGTATTTTCTCATGGGATCATACGATCATACCTTTTAGCGTAATTTTGTTAACTTTTAAGAGTACATTATCTTATGGAGACCGCAAAGTCAACCGGAAAAGCCAAAAAACTTGTATTTTGATTTCATGGGGTCTGTAAATCGTGACTACTTAATAAACCAGAGATCTCATTATACGTCACTTAGAGTGTGAATCTTCTCTGCGACACTAAATTGGCATCTCAGCTGTCTCAGTGAGAACCGAGGATGAATTGTCTAAACAGTTACTGATCCATCCTGTTCTGGGGCATTATTACCTGCTGTGAGGCCGCCGCTGTACTCGCTGAGAGGGGAGGGGGCGCGCCACAGCTTGTGCTAACCTCTCATTTCCCTCTCTGGGACAGATGTATCATTTTCTTGTCTCCTGACAAGGTCTGCGTCATAGCAAGGAACTATACAGGCAAACACAGCAGCAGATGTTGTGTTTTTGTGATTGTGTACTCCGTAGATTTTTATGTTTAATACCTTCTAAAATAGCTACTGTTGAACAAAATCACATTTGTACAGTTCAGCAGTGCACTGTAGAAGTTATTAAAGTAACACTATGTAGTTTTTCAACCTTCATAATATATTTCCAAGACCCTTGCGATGGTACATCGACTTACAATAGGTTAAATGACACATAGCCTGACGTGGTCTGAATCGCTTTTACTTGCACTATGTAACTTCGGGTTTCGGGTAGGAACCCGAGCACAAAGAACTACAAAATTCGACTGCTTTACGGCATACGTCACTTCCCCCACCACTTCCTCAAATTCGGACGTGAGAGGCCAACCAGCGTTTGTTTTCCGGCTTTCGTGCTTATCATGGTCGAAGCAGTAACAAAAACTAAGACGACAAAGGTTTTGTCGGAGGAGACTCGGCAGAGGAAAAGGGTGAGTGATATATATATATATATATATACACTCACCGGCCACTTTATTAGGTACACCTGTCCAACTGCTCGTTAACACTTAATTTCTAAGCAGCCAATCACATGGCGGCAACTCAGTGCATTTAGGCATGTAGACATGGTCAAGACAATCTCCTGCAGTTCAAACCGAGCATCAGTATGGGGAAGAAAGGTGATTTGAGTGACTTTGAACGTGGCATGATTGT